AAAGGTCCAAACGTTTTTCTGAAAACGAGTAACGGTCCAAACTGAATTAGAGGCTCAGCCTCTGGGCCTGATTCCGGCCCTGGTCCTAGCTGTGTACCTGGCCACAAAGCGGACAACAGCACATTAGTAAAAACACATCAGTAAATAAATAATAAGAAATCAACTTAAAGTTGAAGTCTTTCCGATGCAGGCCTAAGTGAAATGGCCGTAGGGCCTCCAGGTTGCGGTGACGCGACCTGGGGGCCCTTACCCAACCTCGGGTCTCGTGAGGGGCCCGTGTGGAGGTTCTCAGCATGTAACACATGATGAGGGGTGAAGGCGGCACATAAAAATTGTTCGTTTCTTCTGTATATATTTAAGATTGGTGGTCGCTCGCCGTTAGGCGACAGCCCTGTACTAGGAGGGATGCAAGTGGGTTGGATAACCGGGAGTCACAGGAAAAATAATAGAGAGTGTCTTGGGCATATCGCTACGATGTGGAGTTGCCTTTACAAATTTGATTCAGTAAGTTCCTGTCTCTGCAAGTTGTGACCGTCGACGGTGTCGAGGTGGTGATCCTCTTGTCAGTTTTCACGACATCAATTGTGGAAAGCTCTTGAAAACTTTCCTTTCAACTTTATGAGATAGTGAAAACAAAGGCTTGTTCTCTGTCATCATACCTGCTAAAGATTGTTGTTTCCACCTTTGGGATGATTCGCTACCTGTATGGTGCATTTGTACATCTTCGTTTGCAACCTCTATGTGCCTTGGCTGTCATGTATGTGCTTTTGGTAACGGCTTCAAAAATGTTTGGTTGTAACGCTCATGTGCCTTAATGGGACATCTATGTGCGAATTGGTTACCACTCTCGCATGATTAACATATGTTTGTGTCATGGTTGTTTACGTGCATGTATTTAATTGTAACATCCGAATGTCTCATGTAACCCATATGTGTGTTTTCTGTTGCAATGACACTGTCTTTCGGAAAACGTCTTTATAAAAGACTAGGAGTGACTTCGATGGGATTGTTCTATATTCACGTATAAGAATTGTCTGTACTGCAGCGAAACGAGCAAAACGCCCCTGGCTGGTTTACCTCTGCGATTGCATGTAAAAACTTTCGTATGTAAATCAGTAGCTCGGTAGGGATACGCCTCTGAGGATGGTGACAGCTCCTTAGGGAAGACGAGTTGTGCCTCGCGGGACCCTGACCTGTCGTAGGGGAATGCGAGAAGTACGACTGGCGCACCCGGCTAGAGTGGCAAAACCCCGTCGTTCACCTCGATGAATTTTGGGGAAAGCATTCCGTCTCTAAAAAGAAAGATATCAAACTCCTGCGTGATGCGGCCGGGAGGTCCCCGTTTATGCGCTACGATGCAAAAGGGGGCCGTTGCATCCGACACCGCGACTACCGACGCGTCCAGCCATTCGCTCAGCCTGTTGCAGCGAGCAGCTTGCAATTCACGAGGACGTTGTGTCCCCTCTTCTAGACTTGAACATGCTCCAGGCTCATCAGGAGCGACTCACCCTACATGTCGCTGCACTGCGTCGCCTTCTCACCATCCTCTCTGACCCTAATCGCACCCTCCCGATCATTCCAGTACGACTGGGGACCTCCACGAGGGTGTACTCACTGCTGTGCGATTCCAGTTCTCAGGGCGACTTCATTTACCCACGTGTGGTGAAAGAAGCCCACTTACCCACGAGAGGGTCTCCGACCCCCATCTCCGTCACCCTAGGAGATGACACCGACCTCCCCTTCTTCCTCACTCTCGAGCCGACTGATTGTCCCCCGTTATCTCGTCACCACCGCTCCTCTGCACATTTCGATGTGATGGAGACGGGGTACGATTTCATTCTTGGTACTCCGTGGTCTCGTCGGTTTCGCAACACCCCAATCGGGTGACCAACACTCTCGTTCTCAAAACGAAGTGTGGATAGACGTATCACGTACCTTTTATAAGTACCACTGGGACACCACGTCCCGATCCTCCTCCCCCGAAGCCTTCCGTGCCCACACCATCTCCTACTATCACCGTCACCTCGCCTCGGCAGTTCATCCACTTCATCCGACAAGACGACGTCACCTTCTTTACGGTGAACGTTACGGATCTCTTGCATTATGATCCACTCTATCCAGACGCCGAACTCATGTCTCTGGAGCCAGATCCTCCTTCAATCTCTATGACTTTCATCTCTACTTCCCTCCCTCCGTCGTCCGTCGAGTCCACCGTGCTGTCGCGCGCTGACGCGGACGCTGAGGAACTCGCACACTATACGGCCGACTAGGAGCCCGTAATTTGTGATCTCATTCCTGAGTACCACGGCGTTTTCCCATCGTCGTTCTCGTACGCCGGCATCCCACCGATGCGCGACGTTGAGCATTCCATCCAGCTTGTGTCTGACTATCATGTTCACCACCAGGCCCCCTATAGACTCTTGATCCCCGATGCCACCGAACTCAAGCGTCAGCTTGAGGAGCTCCTGAGACTAGGTTTCATTAAACCCAGCAACTCCCCGCGGGGTGCACCCGTCCTCTTTGCTCGCAAAGCAGATGAAAATCTTCGTCTCTACATCGACTATCGAGGTCTCAACCGCTACACGGTTAAGAACAGTTACCCCATGCCTCATTCTGACAAGTTGTTCGACCGCCTAGCAAGCAACCGCTTCTTTACGAAGATTTGTCTTCGTAGCGGTTACCATCAAATCGGCGTCGATGCAGCGGATCAGCTGAAGACAGCGTTCTGATCGTGCTTCGGCCACTATGAGTTTACGGTGATGCCATTCGGCCTCACCAACGCACCCGCTTCCAGAGGCCGATGAACGACATCTTCAGGGACATAATGGAGCAGTGCGTTCTCGTCTACCTCGACGATATCCTGATCTACAGTCGTACCCTTGAGGAGCATCTCAGACACGTCTGTGATGTCCTTAACCGCTTGCGCAGACATGGCTTCTACACCAAGCTAAGCAAGTGCCACTTTGCCCAACACAAAGTGAATTTCTTAAGACACTACGTGTCAGACCAGGGTCTCCACATGGACAACGCGAGGATCACTGCTATTGTGGTGTGGCCTGTCCCCACATTCGCCAAGTAACTTTGCAGCTTCCTAGGCCTCACTAGCTACTATAGTAATTTCATCCAGGGCTACGCTAGGTATTCCTACGTCCTTACCTCCACCCTCCTCCGAAAGAACTTGCCATGGGCTTGGACACCCCTCCACGAGGACGCCTTCCGCACCCTCAAGAAGACGGTGACATGCGCAACGGTTCTTCACCTACTCGATTTTGATCGCCTTTTTATCCTTACGACCGATGCATCAGACTTTGTTGTAGGAGCAATGTTGTCTTATGTTTTCCCCTCCTCTCCTGATTCCTCTCATCATTGCATCCCTCGCTTCCCACCCCCTACCCCTACCACTGCTTCCCGCCTGACGCTTACTCGTCCAACTACTGACGAACATTTTATTGACAATTCTCCTACCATCGTCGAGGACGACACTGACGAGTCTCGCTCAGATGATTGTCCGATAGCCTTCTACTCCCGTCAACTCCTGCCCGCCGAGATAAACTACACTGCTGATGGATGTGGGTTCTCGCAGTAGTTTATGCCGCTCGGCACTGGCGTCACTACCTCCAAGGGGCACCATTCATGGTGCGCACGGACAACTCTGTTGTCCAGACTTTTCTGACAAAGTCGAAGCTCACTCCCCGACAGGCTCGCTGGTGGTGCGACCTATCCGAGTTTAGTTTCACCATTAGCACATCAAGGGTGAGACTAATCGGGTCGCAGGATGCCTTATCCCGGTGCCCTGACCATGATCAGGAGTAGATCCAGCTCGCTGCCATCTCGGTCACCACCGTCCACCACTCGGTGATCGACGAGTTTCGCACTCAGTACCGCCACTGCCCCGACTATCCCGACATCCATGCGACCCTTCGGAATGGCAAGACCATCCCGAACTACTCTCTCGGGGACAACGGACTTGTGTACTGGCACGGTTCGCGGAGCACCAGAGAGCCCCATATTTGCGTTCCCTTCACTGGACAGCTACGTGTCCGGGCAATAGCAGAGTTTCATGACCAGGCAGCCGCCGGTCATATGGGCTTCCACAAGACGTTGGCTCGTGTGAGCCGCCTGTACGTCTTGTCAAAGCCCAAGGACTTTGTGAAGGACTACGTCCCAGAGTGTCCCACCTGTCAGGAGGTGAACAATGTGAACCACATGCCTTATGGTTTCCTCCAGCCTCTTCCTATTCCTGAGGGTCGTTGGCAGTCCATCTCGATGGACTTTATCGGTCCTCTTCGCCCTCTGACCCCCCGCGGTCATGATGCTATCCTGGTCGTCGTCGATCACTTCACGAAGCGTGCATGCTTTGTTTCGTGTCGCTATGCCATCAGTGCACGTGAGGTCGCCAACATTGTGTTTGACCGAGTTGTGCGTGACCACGACTTACCTCTGAGCATCATATCTAACTGTGATCCGTGCTTTACCAGCCGATTCTGTCAACGGCTCCACGAGGTGTATGACACTCAGCTCCACTTCTCCTCGTCTTACCATCCCCAGACTGATGGTCAGACCGAGGTTACGAACAGGACTCTTGGAGACATTCTCCGAAAGATTGTCCGTGACGACCAGTAGTGGGATCTCAATTTTGCCCACGCTGAGATAGCCTACAACCATGTCGTCTCGCCAGCCATGGGGATGTCGCCTTACTATTGCGACCTTGACTATCACCCTTGTGTTCCCGCGGACTTCCTTCGACCGTCACAAATGCAACCCGACACGAGTTGTCCCACGCTGGATGATTGGGTTGCACACATGATATCGATCATGAAGACCGCGCATGAGCACATAGCCGCTTCTCAGACTCGCATGGCCGCACGTGCGAACCGATCGAGGATGGATCATCGATTCAAAGTCGGTGATGATGTGCTTATCGACACCCGCCACTTACAGCTCGAAGCGAACACGCTTTGCAAGTTTCGGCGTCTCTTCTTTGGCCCATGCCGCATTCTCTAGGCCGTCGCACCTGATACGGCTTCTAACCCAGTCAACTTCCATGTGAAGTTATCCGACTACCTACGAAAAACTCGTGTGCATGATGTCTACCACGTCTCGTTACTGCGTTCCTACCGCAGACCGTCTGAGCGTTTCGCTGGACAGCCATACGAGCGTCCTCCACCCATCATGGTGGACGGCCACGAGAAGTCATTGGTCACCCAGTCACCGACGACAACCCTCGTCAAGTCGAGTATCTTATACGTTGGAAGGTTACCCTGATGAGGAGGCTACTTGGGAGCCCCTCGATGCTCGCATGTTGGTGCGTGCTTATGACCGTGCTCGTCGTGTTGGGTTGACTGACCCTCCTCCTTCTCCCTTAGGTGAGGAGACTGCTGAAGTCGAGCCTGCTTCATCTGAGGCAGACCTTCAGCAGCAGCCGGATGCTTCTGAGCATCCACAACGCACTCGTTGTCGTCCTGCTCGATACGACGATTGACTCTGACTTATCTTCCCACGTCTTTGACTTCTCAGTACTCCATCGACTCTTGTTTTGTTACTTCATCTCATCGACATTGCGACTCTTCCTCGAAGGCATTCCGAACTTCTCATTATGGACGTCATCGAGAGCTTCATGGACTTCGCCACGATCAGTTCTTCCTACTTCAGACGTCGTCACTCTCTTACCACCTTACCCTGTACAGTACCCTGGTTGTGTCACATGATGGTCTCCCTTCGCTGGGTTCCTTTGAGTTGGGTTCTCCCTTGGTATATGCATAGGCATCGGGACCATAGCGTTGCTTTGGCTTCCCAACTTACGGATTTAGCTCCGACTTCCCCCACCTTAAAAGTCATTTGCATGATTCCCTTACCCATCACTTTTTCTACCCGTTGTCGTCCCTCACGCCCTAGTTAGGCAGTCTTGCATGCTTCATCTCGGTGCGCCCAATATACCAGGTTCGCTTATTCCCTTGCATGGTCGACCCTCCATAGCGGTCACCCCTTTAGTCGAGCGTTACCCGCCCTGATGGTTTATCTGTTAGGGTCATTGGTTCTGTTCGCTCCCAGTTCCCTACCCTCATCGAGCCTGATGACATGTGCCTCCCTGTCATTATGTGTGGATACCCTTAGGAGTTTATCGACCCCTAAGCTGCATTCGCCACCCTCAGAGACCATCCCACCCTTTGGTTTGCGACACACTTCTCCTGTGACATATGGTTGTCTTGTTGTTGCTTTGTTGCTCTTAGACAGAGGCTACTGCCTTTAACATTCTAGGATTTAGTTGTCATTACTTTCTGTTTTCCGAGGACATGTATACTAGTTAGTTGCTTCTGCTTTTACTTAGGCTGTTAGCTGTGACATTGTTGTTTTTTGTGACATTTTTTATCCTAGGTTGCATCACATGGACTCAGCATGGAGCTTGTTCCGCATCCTAGACCACTCGGGTTTTCTTTTCTTTGGTAGAGTTCCACTTCTTGACAGAATTTACGCGATCCATCACAGGCCGAGGATCGTGTAGTGGACCTCTGGTTGGCCTGTGAGACCAGCCCCTTGGCCTGTTCTCACAAGCCTGTGTTGTATTCGGGGTAGTCCAGTCCAGGCCGGTACCTTTGTCGGTACCAGCCAGTCCAGTCCAGTCCTATCGGTCCGCTGGGGTATACCCCAGCTGTTGTCTGTTTTTGAGATCATTCTACATTGGCACATTTGGAGTCCAGCGTGGGAGCTGCGCTGTGCCATCTCGCTCCCCCTTCATCCTCCATCTCCATCTCTATCCCAGGCGGAGCACCACACCTGGTGGGTCCGCCACAACGCTGGACCCGTTTTCCAGCAGGTGAGGCTCCCCACCAATAGATTGGAGCAACCAGGCCGCGAACTAAGGGAGGATGCTCGTATTACCTTGCCTAGTGACACTGGATTGGTTTAAAAAAAAAAAAAAAAAAAAAAAAAAAAAAGGTTGGGTAAAACCGAGACCAATGGTGGCGAAAGAGCAGTATCTAAGGTTTCAGCGATAGAGCAACACAGAGAAGTCGCCCTCAGATGGTAAACAAGAACGGCACAGAAGAGGGGCGTAACTCGTAGGTAGAAGGAAGAAGGGGCAGATGACACAGCACCAGGAATAGACAGATGGCATTCGGCGCCCTGACTAAGGGTGAAGAGGACTAGCTAGCATCTGCAAAGGTTCCGGAAGCTGAAGTAGTCATATAGGTACTCGGTGGAAGCTTCGAAAAAAAAAAAAAGAAAGCCAGCTGTTATTACAACGGGATATCTGTTCACATGAACATTCACAATGTTCAGGGACGCTGGACCCGCTTTCCAGCAGGTGCTGCTCCCCACCAATAGATGGAGCCTCCCGGTCAGTGCTAGAGATGTTTGCTCTCATCAGCACCCCTAGCATTTGCTCGGGTTTATTGTTAAGAAAAAAAAAAAAAAAAAAAAGGAGAAAACTGTCCTTCCGGAATCTGTGGACTGCACCTAAGAACAAAAAGAGATGCTGCAGCGGCGGTACTCTTCACCAGGCTATAGACCCGGGCCTGTTCGGCCTGTGGGACCAGGCTGTCGGCCTGTTCTCGCTTGCCAGGTATTATGTCCAGTCTGCTAGAAGGTAGGTACCAGCCAGTGCAGTCCAGTCAGTCCGCTGGGGACTAACTTATTCCCCTCCTGCCTCACAAGCATCCCTCTGCATGCAAGGCCACAATATAGCCCAGGGGCTGTGTATCTGTGCCCCCATGGTAAGTCAAGGGTCTGAAGGTAAAAACTTCATTGATTTATGGAATGCTTAGTACCCAGTGGTCGGCACTCGGCCGTTTCATGGATGTCATCTGAGGGATGAGGCCACCATACAAAGGGCCTCGCCACGTGGCATGCAACGAAAAAGAAACGCGTGCATCTGCCCGCGAGAGGCGACAAAATTAGGTTTGTTACTATTTATAGCAAACGGATGAAGAACCTGTTCATTTTCTGTGGTAAGATGCACTCTTTCGTTTTTCGTTTCGTGTGCCGTGCGAGTA